CATTCAGGGTGGGTCTTCTCTCCTCAGCTAAACCTTCCTGGAAACATCCTCAGAGGTGTGTTTCCATGGTGAGTCTAAATCCTGTCCCGTTAACAATCCAGATTAAGCAACTCTTCTGAGACATGGTCTCTGCATGTATCCCAGGCTGGCCTCCAGTTTACAACCTTCCTAACTCAGCCTTCCAGGCGCTGGAATTACAGGTGTACACTACTACACCTGACTTAGATCTCAGATGTTTGTTTGAGAAAGGAGTTCATGTAGCTGTCCGGCCTTGAACTCCTGAAGATGTGAGCTTTGGTTTTTTTCGAGACAGGGTTTCTCTGTGTAGGTTTGGCACCTTTCCTGGAACTCCCTCTGTAGCCAGGCTGGCCTCAAACTCACAGAGATCCACCTGCCTCTGCCTCCCCAGTGCTGTGATTAAAGGCGTGCGCCACCATCGCCCAGCTGATCTGAGCTTTTTAAAAGAGAACTTGAAAGGTAAGCATCTAGCATGCTGTGCAACACACAGTAGGTGACAGACCACGGTGACCTAAAGCGGCAGTATAGGCCACCAAGGCAGTAGGCACAGAGCCAAGCTAGCACAGCCGCAGGTCATGTGAACAGAAGCAGAGTCCAAGTGAGGAAGAGGACCCCCGTCTCCCCATCCTTCATCCTTGGGCTCATGCTCTGCACAGAACACGATCTGGAGAGACCGACAAAACCCACAGGATGTGGGATCCCAAGACTCCATCTAATAGCTGTGCTGGAGGAACAGGGACTCAGTCTAGAGGGGAACACTATCTGAACAAGACCAGGCTGCTGCCCAGGGTCAGTGCAGGGCCACTCCCATTTGGGCTGTGAAACCATTCTGCTCAGTACATGAAGTCATTTTTCTCAAAACAACTGCTTTAGGGTGGCCCAGAGCACAGCCACGTGTTGAATCCAATTTGTGAGCAGTAGTGGTTAGTAACTATGTTCTCAGCCCAGAACCTATTAGCCCCTGGGACAAACATCTCCAGAACAGAAACAAAGTTTGTTTGTCTTTTTCTACTAATTTTTTTTTTTTTGAGGCAGGGTCTCATTGTGTATCCCTGGCTGTCCTGTAACTCACTATGTAGAGCATGCTGGCCGCAAACTTAGAGAGATACACTTGACTCCTGGGGTACTGGCATTAAAGGTTTGTCCTGTCACACAGGATCCTTTTTCTACTGCACTTTAAATGAAAAACAGCTAAGAGCACATAGTACAATCCTGATGTGCACCCGTAGCCTGTGCCAGGCAGAGCACAAGTGTCCCTGTGCAGTGTCCCCAAGGCCAGTGAGGAGCCCCACAATGCAGGCTGAGGTACAAGCAGCATGCAGGAGCCCCACTGGGTAGATGTGAGACTCGGACTATACAGCTGTCCCTGAATCAGCCCAAGAGTGAACGAGTGCCTTCGGAGTCCCCGGAAAGAAACCGCGGATGGAGATAGAGCTAATCGCGGAAGTACAAGAGAGAACAGGAAAAGTTCAGCCAGCCCAGCCGCTGCACTCCCAAGTCCTCTGCTAGCCTTGTTATCACAGAGGACATGCAACTGTCACCTGAGCAAAATTGATTATTGGATCAATAGCAAGAAAGGCACTTAAAAAAAAAAAGTGGCTATCACCCCGTCTCGGCGGCCATCTTCACTCCCTGTGGCTATCAGGCCTCAGGACACGAGTACACAGTGCCTAACATGTAGACCCGGATGCTTACCGACTTACAGTGGGGTTGGGTCCTGACAACACACTGTGAGTCGGAGGTAAGTTGAAAATGTATTGCTGTACCTAACCAAAGCGGGTCAGTGCAGCGCACTGAGCGCTGGGTTTTCATCCAGTGGCTGATGATCTGGAGATGGCTGCTCCATGTTCAGAACTAGATTAGCGTTTGCTCTGGATGTCTCTTTGCTGGTTCGTGTTGTTGCTGGTGTGTGTGTGTGTGTGTGTGTGTGTGTGTGTGTTGCAATAAAATGACATCTAGCCCAGTTTAAAAGTGGGCAGAGGATATGAACAGATGTTTCTCATACACATCCGATAGATCTCTACATCATTATTCATTAGGCAAACACAAATCAAAACCGCAATGGGATTCCACTTCACTCCCACTAGCATGGTTAAAATGAGACAGGCAGTCCCAGGTGTTGGCAAGGATGAGAAGACACTAGAGAGTGCAGCGCCCTCATGGGTTGTGGTGGCAAGGTAAGAATGTGTAGCCTGCCCTGGGGAACAGTCTGACAGTCCCTCAAAATGCTAATCATAGTTACCAGCTGATGCAAGATTCCACTCCTAGGTATAGGGTTGGCAAGAAGACCCAGTAGGTTAAAGTGCTTGCCACCAAGCCCGACAACCTCAGTTCAATCCCCGGACCTAACAGTAGGAGAGAACAAACTCCAGCGAGGTGTACTTCAACCTCTACACATGCGCTGTGATGACATGTGCACTTGTACACAAACACACGATGTACCCACCCACCCACTAAATAAGTAAGTATAATTTAAAAAGAAAATTTTAAAAGAAGTGAAAACCCATATTTATACAGAGACCAGCACATGAATGCTTGTGGCTGCATCATTCGAAATAGCTGAGAAGTGGTAACAACCCAAATCTCCATCAACTGGTAAATGGATACACAAAACAAGGCATAAACAGAACTATCCAGCCGTGCGGGGGAAGGAAGGGTGATCTGGAACTGGGTGGGTGAGCATCCAAGTAAAAAGGGACCACATACTCCATGCATATGAACTACCCAGGCACGGGCCAGCAAGATGACTTAGCAGGTAAAGGTGCTTGACACCAAACCTGACAACCTGAGTTCCATTTCCCATGGCTCACATTGTGGAAGGAAAGATCTGACCCCCAAAACTGTCCTCTGATCTCCACATTTGCGTGTGCACACATGCGCACACACGTACCCCATACATAACCACAAATAAATAAACAACACATTTTTACAGTCTGAAATGCTACATCCATTGGGTCAAGCCAATTAGTTCTCATGGAGGAAGTGCCCACTGTGAAAAGTGCCCCAGATAGCTCTATCTGAGAAGTGTTTTAAATGTGATCGTCAAGGTCGTAGAACTCAATGAGAGATGAGAAACCTCTGCACCAAACCTTGTAGAGAGGGAAAGACTGCCAAGTGTGGCACATGCCTTTAATCCCAACACTTGGGAGGCAGAAGCAGGCGGATCTTTGTGAACTTTAAGTCAGCCTGATGTACAGAGGAAGTTCCAGGACAACCAGGGCTGTTACACAAAGAAACCCTGTTTTGGGAAGGTGGGGGGAGAGAGATACAGATATAGATATAGATATAGATATAGATATAGATATAGATATAGAGATAGAGATAGAGATAGAGATAGAGATAGAGATAGAGATAGAGATAGAGATAGAGATAGAGATAGAGATAGATAGATAGATAGATAGATAGATAGATAGATAGATAGATAGATAGATAGATAGATAAATAGTAGATAGATAGAGATATTATGGTAAGTAAATTCCATCTATCAATAAAGTAGTTTTGTTGACAGGGGCAGGTGAGACAGGGTCTCATGTAGCCCAGGCTGGCTTTGAATTTATTATGTAGCTGAGGGTGACTTTGAACTCCTGATTCTCCTGACATCACATCTCAAGTACTGGGATTACAGGTATATGTTGTCATGCTTCGTTCAACAAAGCTGTTTCAGAGAGAGAAAGAGAGAGACAGAGACAAAGAAAGAGAGCGGGAACGGTCATGGTTGAGAAAGCAGCTTTAGGAGAACTTCAGAGTCCAGGTGACCTAGTGTTGCAGAGGGCCACATCACCCTGAGTTCTAGTCCTATGCCTTACAGATCTGCTTGTTTGACCCTAAACAGGACCCCCCCCCGACACACACACACACACACACACACACACACACACACACACACACACACAGGTTATTTTCCACCATGCCTCCCCTAGCACATGCTCCCAAGCTCTAGGTAGGGCCCTGGATTCCCTGGGGCAGTTTTGAACAGAACAAAAGAAAATAATAAGCACTCTTGGATAACCTCTCTGGCCCCTTAAAAGGCCTGTTGGAGGGGCTGGAGAGATGGCTCAGAGGTTAAGAGCACTGGCTGCTCTTCCAGAGGTCCTGAGTTCAATTCTCAGTACCCACATGGTGGCTCATAGCCATCTGTAATGAGATCTGGTGCCCTCTTCTGTATATATAATAAAATAAATAAATCTTAAAAAAAAAAAAAAAGAGGCCTATTAGAGGTTTGAAGACCAGGATGCTCTGGGCAGAGACCACAGGGTAAGGATGGCTACCATGAGGAGAAATGACCCCAAGAAGGCTGGGTAGGGCTTCCTGGGGTCTGTCAGCACCCTCTCCCCAGGGGGCTATCCCACTTGATGAAAGGCTCTGCCTGGGAGCGGGGCCTGCCTCTGCCTCCTTCCCCTTCCCCTCTCTCTGTGTTCAGCGTTTTCACACACAGGTGCCTTTCAGCATAGGTTCTCCCATGTTTCCTAACCCGGCTGGGTCTCCTGGCGGACAGGGGGGTTGGAGAGGACTTCCTCTTCCAGGAGGGAGGGTGGTGGCTTTACCTGATCTAAGCTAGAGGCAGGGACCTTTGCATCCCTAAGCTGTGGGGTTCCACCACAGCAGAGTGAGAAAAGCCTATAGATACTTAGCTAAAGCCTTCATTTCCAAATGGGGAAACTGAGGGTCAGGGAGGGCAAGGGTTTTCTAAACGTCCACACAAGCCAGTGATAGGAGTCAGAGCCGGCCATGGACTGTGGGCAGGCCTAAGCTGACAGAAGTGTCGAAACCACCATGGGGGCAAATGGTCCATCCTTGCCTGACTTCATTCACAACGGAGACTGGGGGGGCCTCAGGGAGCCCAGAAGGTACAGAGTTGGGGGCTTCCATCCCAGGTCCACAAAGGACTCACACAGAGCCAAGCCCAAGGATCAACCGTTTCTCCCAATCCTCCCCACACCACCCACCCACCCCTCCGCTTGACCAGTCCCACGTCCCATTACCTGGAGTCTCTGGGCTCATGGGAGCAGCAAGGCGGGCGGTGTGCTGATTGTGAATGTGGCCCGGCTGGGGAAGGAGAGGCCATGGCACCGTGACAGCCGAGGGCGGGGCAACCATGACGTTGCCCCTGGGCCTCACTGGCTCATCCGGGTGTTGTGGCATTCCTTCCCGGGGTGCTATCAGCCCCCAGGCCTTCCTGTCTGGCTTGCCTCTTTCCCCCCAGCATCCTAGGAGGAGCAAGGGTTGGCATACACCCTGCTGCAGATCCCAGGATCACACTGCAACCTCAAGCCCCCAGTGGCAACCATGTTGGGCCGCCCTGGGCTGTGACAGGCTCCAGGAAGGGAGGAGTTGAGGGCTGGTCTTGGGTAACCCCTCTTTGCTCGGGGAGGTTGATTCAGGTCCCAGCCATGTGTCCTGACCTGCCCTGCAAGTCAGAAGACACTGCCATGCTCCCTGTTCCTGGAAGCCGGGGCTGGAGTGGTATATGCAGAGGAACAGAAAGCTCAGGGACCATGGAGAGGGGCTGAAAGCTAGGGCGGTGCTTCTCCTGGGAAGGGAAACTGGGCCAAAGCTAGGGCAGGTCAGGAGAGCAGCACCTGTCTAGGATGGGTAGGAACTGAGTCCTCAAGAGGCAGGAAGCCTCACACCGCTGCCACCTCTGCCTTGTGCTCACTCATCAGTCACTCTGTGCTGTCGCTGACCCAAGAGTACCAGTCAGCAGGGATAAAGGCAAAGCCAGGAGCTTCCTGGAAAAGGAGCCACCCACATCCTAAGCTCAGGCCCAAGCCTTGACTGTTCTCTCAAGTTCAACATACACTCGACCTGCGAGGCAAGTCCTACTGGACAGCCTCTGCGTTGTCCCCAGTCCCGGCCCCCCCCCACTTCCACCGCCACCATCACGGTTGCCCTGCTTGGGCCATCCCCTCCACCGTGGTCCACCTGGGCAGTCGCTTCAGCTCCACCCCCACTGTGCATAGCCTCCAGTTCTTGGGACACAGCCGGTTCCCACAAAGTCCTTTGCCATCTGCCCCATGCCTCTTGTTCTGACCTTGACTCCATGGTAACCCTCCCTCCCCTCCAATTTGTGCCATGCTGGAAAATGCTCCAAACATCCCAGATAGATACCCACCTCAGGGCCTTTTCACTGGCTGTCCTGTTCAGAACACTCTCCCCTAGAAAGCCACCTGACGGGGTGGTAATAGAGAGATGGCTCAGAGGTTAAGAGCACTGGCTGCTCTTCCAGAGGTCCTGAGTTCAGTTCTCAGCAACCACATGGTGGCTCACAGCCATCTGTAGTGAGATCTGGTGCCCTCTTCTGGTGGGCAGGCATGCATGCAGGCAGAACACTGTATACATAATACATAAATAAATCTTTAAAGAAAAAAAGAGAAAGAAAGCAAGCCACCTGGCTCCTTCCTTCACTCTTTCTGTCTCTGTTCAAATGTCACTTCCCACAAGGAGCCTGCCCTGATCAGCCTGCTCTCCATCCTCTTCAGTCTGCTTTACTCCTCCACATGTTATTTTCTTGCGCAGATTTCCTGATAAAGTATTTGCTTTAGCACCGGGGACAGTGACCAATGTGTAGAAAACATTCAGTCAATTTTGCTGAATGAGTAAGAGATCTGAAATACCCTGATGTGTGTGTGGTGGAGGTGGGGGTGGGGCACTCCAAGCAGAAGGAGGTAAGAAGTGCCATTGACCACTGCGCTGAGGAAACACACAGATTGTTCCATTTGGCATGAGTGAGGGCCTTGGAGCTAAAAGAGACAGAGAGGAAGCTGGAGACGCAGGAGCTCCGAAGCCACGCTAAGGAACTGCATGGGGACCTGAGCGCAGTAGGGAGCCACATGGTAGGTCTGTTCAGAAGGCAGCTCTTGGAAGCTACACTGTGGACTGAGAAGGGTGTCTTGAGGGATGGGGAGACAGGGGACTAGGGGTAGGGTCATGGGAAGACCCAGGATATGTTGAGAAGGACAGTGCTGCCAGCCACAGGGGTGACAGGGCCTGGGAACTGTGACTGGGAGAACTGAGATGCGCAGGGCATGTAAAATGCATGCTGGATTTTAAAGGCTGGATGGAAAATAGAGAATAATTCTTTTTGAGACCGAGTCTCACTATGTAGCCTTGGCTGTCCTGAAACTCACTATGTACAACACCAGGCTGGCTTCAAACTGACGCCTGTCTCCGTCTCCCAAGAGTTTTTTTGTTTCCCCCTTGGTTTTTCAAGACAGAGTTTCTCTGTGTAGCTTTGACTGTCCTGGAACTCACTCTGTGGACCAGGCTGGCCTTGAATGTACAGATATCTGCCTGCCTCTCCCTCCCAAGTGCTGGGATCAAAGGTGCGTCCTATCACCGCCAGGCTCCAAGAGCTATTACAGAAAGCATGCACCACCATGCCCTGCCCAGTCTTCCTTTCTTTTGTATTGATGATGTTAAGATGAGTTCATGTTGGGTAGACGTGGTTTATAAAGTAAGTTAGTAAACTCTGACTATTTTTAATGTACCACTGCAAGTTTAAAATGTGTGTGTGATGGGCCTGGTTCAGAGAGCACAGCCGACAGGTCTCAATAATGTGGGGGTGAGGATGTGGGGGTGAGGGAGACCCTCAGACTAACTGAAACTCTCCTTCCAGCAGCTCCTTTCTGATGAGACTGTGATTCAGAGGCCACCGGGGTAGAGCCTGGATAGCCAGTGTTCACTGGGACACAGTACACATGCAAAATCCCACCTTCTAAATTAAGAACTTGCTAGAAATGAAATACGTTGATAGGCTAGACAATGAGCCTTCCTTCTGAGAGCAGTATATAAGAAGAAACTTCAAGACTCCTATCTTTGTTTGTTTGTTCATTTGTTTGTTTTTTGAGACAGAGTTTCTCTGTGAAGCTGCCTTGGCTGTCCTGGAACTCTCTGGAGACCAGGCTAGCCTCTAACTCACGAAGATCTGCCTCCCAAATGCTGGGATTAAAGGCCTGCTCCACCACACCCCAGCTCAAGACCCCTATTAAGCCAGTATGAGGAGGCTAAACTAAATTAGGTATTCTTAAGCTGGGCATAGCAGTTCACATTTATAATCCTGGCACTTAAGGTAGTCAAGATGATTTGGGTTCTAGGCTATCCTGGGCTGCATAGGGAGTTTCTTTCTCCAAAATAACGAACAACTAACTTGATTACTCTCATAATGCGTTTACATCCTTAGCTGAGCAAGAGTCAGAATTACCCCAAAATCGCTTAGAAACTGCTAAGTCCCCAGGCCCCTTCCCAGACATGCTCAGTCAGAAGTTGTGGGGTCCCCAGGCTATCTTAGCCCGCCTGTGCTGACATCTGCTCATGTGCGAGACCCACCGGTCTGAACGTCTTCTGCCACCTGCAGCTTTAAATGCCTGGTACACAGAAAGTGCTCCCCCAATGCCATCCTCTATCTTTGGTTTGTCTTCTAGTCCCGTCATTAGGCATTTCCCTCCCTGAGCCTCAGTTTCCCTCTCTGCCTCTGCTGCAGCACCTGCTTGGGTATTTACCTGGAGCATGACAGACACACCTCCACGTGGGCAGATGTCACAGTCAGGACAGACCTGTCTGAGGTGTCAAGGAGGCCCTGCTCCAGCTTAGTTCCACCCAGATGACTTCAGTGCCCAGAGTGTGGGTGACTCACGGCACAGCCTCCCCACCGTGATGAAACGCAGCTGACAGTCCCGGGGAGTCAGTACAGCAGCTGAGCGTGACTTATGGCTTTTCTGCATTCCAGAACTGCTAGCCAGGCTCCTGACTCAGCAGGCATGTGTACTCTGCAGACAACAGTCAGACAGCTCAGCCTCAGTTTCCCCATTTGTCAAAACAGAGAGGCAGCAGCTCCCTACACATGACAAGGGTGCTTGTGTATACTGGCCAGTGACACCCAGCCTTTGTTATGCCTCAGTGTTCTTGGAATGAGGCCTCGGGATTCCTGAAGAAGCCCCCTGTGGCTTCTTAGGCCTGATACATATGCCCTGTAGGTGTAGAGGGAAAGGAAAGGAAACCTCACCTCCTGTGAGCTCTGGCTGTTTACAGCCTACAGCCTCCTAGAGGGATGCCTGGGAGGGCAGGACCTATACCATCTGAAATTGTCTATTAAATGAATCCTCCAAGGCAAGGGTGGTGGCTTACACTTGTACTCCCAGTACACACGCGTACTTGCACTCGAGGGCTAAGGAAGAGGATCGCTGCGAGTTTGCGGCCAGCCTGGTCTACAGAGGGAGACCTTATCTAAAAAACCAATCAATTAGTTAATTAAATTTAACACAAACAAACACAACTCTAAATCATAGAGTATTGTGTCCATTTCATGGATATGGAAAGTGAGATGAAATGACTTTTCCCAAGGTCACAAGGCTGGGTTGAGATTTATACCAAGGTCTCCCTGGCTTGAAAACCCAACCCTTTCGGCCCCTCCACCGAGAAACTCCAAGTTAACCTACAGGCTTACCTACAGGCTTACACAGCTCCAGTTTGTGCCACTCAAACCTACATCTGAAAGCTGAGCATCGCCCCCCCTCCCTCCTCCTTTTCTATTAAACTGAGGACCTTGAGCACACGGAACAAGCCCCCACCACGGAACCACGCCCCAGCCATTGCTCTCCTGAATCTTTCCCTAACAGCTAACCATGCTGGACGTCACTCCACACGCTTACTTACCTTCTTTTGTCAGCACACGCCTCCTGCCTGCTTTCTGCTTGCTCTCCCCTTTGCTGCTGGGACTCGGATCCTTTGTCAGCTGGCGGTGGACAGATATTTCCCGTGTCCACAGGCCACCCTCTGAAAGTGCTGAATAGCTGTTCCCTTGTCTATTCACAGCAGCGAGGCAGACTGCATGAACAGTTTTTCAGTGGTTTGGCTTGTCCCCCAGTACTGGGGATAGAATGTAGGCCTCCTGCATGCCAGGCAATGGTCCTGCTGAGCCACACCCTGAGCCCAGCACCTCACCGGTGGGTGCTGAGCAAGATTTCTATGGGTGAGCCAGTCTCCAGCTCCTGAATAGTCATTCTTTTTAAAAAACAAATTCTCACTGTGTAGTTATGGCTGGCCTAGAAGTGTTTTGGACACCACACTGGCCTCCAACTCACAGAGATGCTCCTGTCTCTGCCTCCCAGGTGCTGGGATTAAAGGTATTCACCATCATTTTAAAGCTCAGCTTACAGATGAGGAAGTCTAGGCCTAGAGGTTGGGGACTTGCCTGTGGATGCTAAGGACTTTGGGGGCAAAGGTGGAACCCCAAGCCAGATCCTCTGACCTTCAGGC